AACCCTCATTCATACAAGTAGCCCTGATACAAAGAGTCTTATTGACTTAAATGGGACTCCTTGCATGAGTAAAGACCAATGGTGAAAGGTGTTGGATAGCAAATGGGGTCAAAGACTTCTGTTTTCCCCAGATCCGGACATTGAGAGTGTAAATTGTCCTGAAGGGACCCCAGTATAAAGAAATTAGTTTTAGCAGGAGAGAAGCAGAGTTTGGTCTCTATCTAATCAGTCTTTGGCCTATTAGTTGAGAAATGTCAATGGTGCAAATTTAAATGATATATTTTGGGCATGGAAACTGTCACTTAGAAGCTGGACTGGAGCCCCATCCCTGTCACATAGGTTACCAAAACACAACTCAGTGAATCCTGGATACGTTCAACTTGATTCTTCTCTCTAATTCTAGTTTTATACCAGTTTAACTAAATGGCATCTATGGCATTTCTCCTATTTTACATTAATGCAAGAAAAGACTCAGGATCATTAAGTCTTTGCACTGCTACTTCATCCCATTTTCCAACACTGATCTCCTGAGACATCCACTCCCAACATGCTGGGCCACAAATCAAATTCGTCCTAATCTTTTTTCTCTTTTGTAATGAGCATTTTATAGGAAAGAAAAGAAAAATATTATAGGCATGCATAGTGACTGAGCTGCACAACCACATGTAACTTTGAGATGTAATGTTGCAATATCAGATTATGAATATAATAGCCCAGGATATCTCATCTCATAAAGTCATTTCTTGATGGTACTCTGGAGAGACAGTAGAGACATATGTTCTCTTGGAGGGTTTGGAGATATTGCTGCTGCAAGTGGATACAGCTTTCAGCCCTTCATAACTCTTCTGAGCCCAGTATTTTCTGATGTGTAGGCTACAGCATGCTTTCATGTGAGGAGAACTGTCACCAGAAAAACAAATAAATAAACAAAAAAACATGTTAAGGTACAGAAAGTGGGGAGAGATAAAAGATCTATCCAATTTTGGGGTGTTGTCATCTCTCCTGTCCCAGTTAGAACAGGGGTGGGCAAAAGAGCCTCTTCGGGCTGGATCCAGCCCGCCAAGTGAGTGAATTTGGTCCGCAGAGGCCCTGCAGCTCCCCTGCCCCCAGTCCAATTAGGGCACCTAACGGTAACACAGTGGATGTGGGGAGGCAAAGGCACTCCCTCACCCCCAGACCAATCATTATCTGGGGTTGGGAAACCTGAAAGTATCTTGACCCCACCCCTTCTGCTTTATGCCCCACCCCTTCCTGTGTGGCCTGGGGACACTTAAAAAAATTCCAAATTGGCCCCTGGCGCAAAATTATTGCCCATCACTGATTTAGAAAGATCTAATTTGAGGGGACACTTAAGGAATGAAGTTTGAAATCTAAGTCAAAGACAGCCTTTGGAGTTGCTTGGTGTCTGTTAGTCAAATGAACCTAAATTCCAGCTAGTCATTTTGTGCACAACTGTGACTGAACTAAATGGTTGTAAACAGCCAGATGCCAACAGGACTGCTACATTAGCATCTACTGCCATCTAGCAGTAGATCAAAATAGATATCTACATAAATGTAATTAAAACTATTCAAAAGCATAAGAAAGGAAAACAATATACCAGTGGGCCATTTCCTCAGCTCTGTTAAGCTATGTGCTGCTCTGATAATGCAAAGCAGGTGAGATTTCTTTTAGTGCAGATTAATCCTTTAGTGGTGGAAAGCTGGCTTGGCCAACTCATTCCACACCCCTTCATAGCATCCCCCACCCAGCAGAGGTGTTGTGGCTGAGGAAAAGTGGGCATATGCCCTTGCACTTTAGTGATCTCCAGCTTTCAGAACTGTGCATAAATGCTGTATATCACAAAGCATCCCTAAAGCTGTCCTATTCTCTCTCACTTTTGGGGGCCCAGGTACCCAAACATCAGGGAGCAAGAAGTCACCTTTGCAACATTCCCATAGAGGCTGCACAGGTTGTCAAATGTCCAGTTCTGGGGATCTGACTCGTATCTCGCTCCATACTATTGCTTGCTTGGCTGAGAGAACAGAACATGTGAGTTTAATTTGTTCACTTCGAATTCTAATATCAATAACAATTAAACAAAGATGATTACTGATCACCATTGCACCCTGGAGGCCTCAATCAGTATCAGGCCCTCACTGTGTCAGAGTCCCAACCCCTTGCAATAGATGCAAAATCTTACACAGTGTATTGTGTGCAATCCTGTTGAAGTCAATGAGACATCTCACAGTGCATAACATTAAACATATGAATAAGTCTTCGCAGGACTGAGACTAAAGAAGACTATCATGCCAATTTTTTAATTTTGCTTTCTATAACATTACAGAATTTCCCCTATGTTTCAAAATGATTTCACTGAGTGGAGCTGAGTTAAGTAATTTAGTGATATTTTATGATTTACACATTGACTTTGTAAATTTTCATTTGTTCCTAATGATTATTATGAATGCTTTGCATATATACCATGCCCAAGTAGCTTTGCAAGCATTAATTAATTCCCATAATACTCATGTGAGCTAGTAAGCTTGATTAAGCACAGATGAGCAAACTGAAACGCAGGAGAAATTAAAGAGCATGACCAAAGTCATGCAGTGAGTCAGTAGCAGAGTGAATATCCACAAGTCTTGACTCACAGTCCCTTGCCACCATCATTTCCTTTTATTCTCCTTACTACTCCAGATCAAATTCTGCCATCAATTATATTTATGCAACTTCATTAAAGCCAATGGGATTTTAGGGATGTAAATGAAAACAGTTTTTGGCCAGTTAAATCTCTGCAGTATTTGTATGCCTCTTTTTATAGACTGTTAAGTTGCAATTACCTTCGTGTTTCAAGCCAAATGTACATCTGATAAAAGCCACTCTGGGTAACATCCATAAGTATGACAAAAATGTTCAACATTAAAAGGTTTTTCAAAATGTGTTTTTAAATCTTCAACCAAAAAGAGCTGCACCATGATGTTATCTTCATAGATTTTCTGTGAGGTTTCTCTCCACATTGGTCTCAAAGAGCTGAAATATTGCTTGTTTTTCGAAAGGCTCTTCAGGCCTCAGTAAGTTGATTCACTCTTTATATCTATATATTACAGTTGCCATCTAGCTGTGTCTGACTTCTCAGTCACACAATCATCTTGAGCATGTCTCCTGTCATCTTTCTGTAGCTCCAGGCCCTTGATTTCCTCTCCCATTTTCCTTCATTTGTGGACAAATTCAACCCTACCTAAAGGTAGGCAAATATCCATCACCTTCAATAGAGCACAGTCTACTTCTATCAGCGCTGAATCTGATCTGTATTCTTCAACATAATTCTGACAAACCAGCCTTTCCTGTGAACTCCTGGCCCCACTGATGTCAATGGCAAAGCTCCCATTGACTTCAAAGGGCAGGATCCAACTCATTGAATTTGATATGTCCTTGGGTTCTGGATGTAGATTGCCAGGGTTGCTGTGATCTATTTACATATCTTTATCTGTCAATCTCATCCACTATCTGTCTTGGCTTCTGTCCTGCTGTGCAGAGAGATAATGGGGACAGATTATGTTTCTTCATTCCAATTTCTTCTTAGGAAGGCTTCCTGCCCACAGACTCAGCTTCTTCAGCTTTTTCAAACGCAACTTTGTGGAAATGCTTGCTGCTCTTAGTGCTTTCCCTATGCAGAACGGAGTAGGCTTTCTGTAGGTGCACTAGTGATTTCCATAGGTACAGGGGGTCATTTCAATAATTCCTCTATGCTTACACTCTGCACAGCTGTTTGTGAACCTTAGGGAGCTAAGGCACTAAATAAAGGTGAGATCACATAAAACAGGAGTTTTGAAAATTCCCTCTGCCCTTCCACAATAAGGAAAGTTAGCTTGAAAGGGCACAAAATGTAATGGAGGAATAGAATGTTTCCCAGTGCATGACAGGAATAAAGAGGGATGACACACAGTTATCTTTGTGTTGCATTCTGATCAGTCAGACAGCAGAGATAGCATGCTTTCCTTAGCCCTTTTGCACTCAGCATGCGACAAATATGAAGAGGTGCATAAAGGGGGAAGAGAGAATGCTGCTTTTCTGGTCAAAAGACCCCTTTGTATAAACTAGCAGAGGGAGCCTGCATGGAAACCCAAATGAGCCTGAGGAATATTCATACGCTGGTAATGTACCATGACTACTGCCTCCCAGCTCTAGATAAGTTGAATTAATAAACTGCCTTTCGTTGGTGACACCTCAGCATGAATTTTGCATTAGACTCAATTCAGTAAAGTTCACAACTGACATGGTTCCCTTTATGACGATCCTTTTCAATTGTTTTTTGTGCTGGGATGTCATAAAGATGTTTGAGTTGCTTCTGGCAGGGAGCTGTCTTTTATCTTGAGAAAGAGCTTTGGTAACCCACTCATGCCTACAGCACTCTTGAATTAAGTCTGCAGGCAAAGCTTCTAGTCCGTTTACACTATTAACAAGGCAGGCATTTTTTCATGTCAATGAAAATCTCAACGCTGGGCTTGTCACAGTGGAAAATTTCAGTTGTGGCGGGCAAAGGGAGATTAATGAAGGGAGCAGACATGATGTGATAACATCAGTGGACACCTTGTGCTGTTATTAAAACAATGTGAGTGGCTCGCCTCTGCCACTTAGAACTCTGGAGGCACTTGCCAAGTTTATCAGACCATGAATCTTCTCTTCCTTAATTGATAGGCAGGTGGCATGGCGGAGCAGTGTCCAGATTGTACAGGGAAAGATAAAAGCATCTTCAGATAGATAGACAACCTGATTATGAGATTTGTTTATCTCCTGATAATCACCATGTTAACTGTATCAGTCAGTGAGCTATTTCCTTCTGTTGATATGTAATCAGGAGATGGCTTGGCTGAAGGATATATTTGGATTAAGTTTAGGTGAGGATCTGAGCTTTCAGTTAGGAGCTAGCCTGGGTCACCTCTGGCATTTAGAATTCACTTCAATCCAGCTGTTCTGGTGCGAGCTTGGCCAAAATGGTGGAAAATTTAGGCAGTAGCTGTTCTTCTGAGCTTTACTTAATTTAAGATTCTGGCTCCCAAGCCATCAGATAAATAGAGCCTGTCCCCAAAAATCCTTGTGCATCCCCATTAAAGTCAGACATACACCACACTATCTACAAATAGGAATAATAATATACCTTTCTCCCACCCTCAGGCTATGTCTAGACCACAGGCTTTTTGTGCAAGAAGCTTTTGTAGGAAGAGATCTTCCATAAAAACTTCTTGTGCAAGAGCACGTCCACACTGCAAAAGTGCATCGAAAAAGCGATGTGCTTTTGCAAAAGAGAGCGTCCAGACTGCATAGATGCTCTCTTGAAAGTAAGTACTGATTGGTATGCACAGAATGGCCACCAGGTCACCTATCCTTTTTCCTCTTTCCTCTTTTTGTGCAAAAACCTCCTCTTCCCCATCCACACACAGCTTTTTGCGAAAAACTCTGTCTCAAAAAGGCTACTTCCTCAAAGACAGAGGAATACCAATTGCACAAAAACCCTTCTGATCTTTCGATTCTCTTGCACAAAAATGCGCTTGAGTTATGGATGCTCTGTGAGTTTTTATGGAAAAACGCCTGTTTTTCCACAAAAATTCTGTAGTGCAGACAGCCTCAGTATGTTATATCTACTTAGTTGGTAAACTGTCCAGAGCAGGACTGTGTTTATGGATATATACAATGCCTAGCATAATGGGGCCCTGATCTCAGTTAGTCACATCCCCATGTGTTGAGATATTCAAAACTGCCTACAAGATTTAGATACATACTGTTTGTTAAAAGTAATGGTCTAAACCCCTAATCTGCTGTGAAAAGCTCAATACATGAATACATATGATATGATATATGATTTGTTATATAATACGATCAGCAGATTTCATCAGCATGAACTTTGGATGACTTTGTCATTGCTCAGAATGATAAAGATACTACAGGTTGAACCTCTCTGGTCCGACACATTCAGGACCTGATCGTTGCCATATCAAAGAATTTGCCAAACCATGGGAGGTCACTATTGGGCATCACCGACACTTCCACTTCTTAGTGGGCTGTTAGAAGACATTTAGCACAGAACACTGACAGCAAGGACTGGTGTCTGTAAACAAACTTTATGGGACCACAGGAAACTTAGCCACAATTGTAAACAAACTTTATGGGACACAGGAAACTTAGCCACAACCATGATATGTGGACATTTGGCTAACTGAAATCATGCCAGATTACGGATGGTACTGGACTAGACAGAGAGTACTGGATTAAACTGTAGTTGGTTATGCAGCTCATCCCATAGGGGTCATCAAAACCTGTATATCAACTTATCCCATCACAGAGTCTGTAGATGCCTGACCAGAAAAGTTACTTCAGAGAGCTTTTAAAAAAGTGTATTTCGATTATTTTTCATTCTCTTCTTGCAAAGCCAGGTGCCTTACTTACCCTGAGTCCCACTCAGAGAGGGGAAAAATACAGCACATTTTAAAAATATCTAAAAATGACCAAAAGTAGCTTTTCTATCCATAATACCGTAGGAAGAGTGGAGCATAAGAGAGGGGTAGGTGCTCCAATTTCTAGCAAGAATGGGAGACAGCAGAGTTTAAAGTCCTATTTATGTTCAGTCTAGTACTTGTGCAGGACTGAAACATACCCCTCATGGGCCTCACGCAAGGTTACCTGAGTGGATTTCCCCCCATTTGGAGAGCAGACAGAGGAAACATCTTTCTGGTGGATTGATTGATAAAAGGACAAGCTGCTTAGATGTCTGGAATGATGCAATAAATCTGGAGGTGGTAGATTAGTGGGCATAGTACAGCTGAGATTTGTCAAAGGTATATGACTAATGAAATGATATGACACATCTCTGAAGGATATCACATGGCTCCACAAGATAGCATGTGAATATCAGCTCCCATATATATGACGTGTCCACGTATAATTTATTAATATTACAGAATCCTTGTGACAGCAAATGCCTTTGTTAAGGTTGGAAAAGAAGATGCCTATAGCTTTCTGTCTATGGGCCTGATCCTGCAAACTCTTAATTGTGAGACCAGTCTTTTAATCTGTACTCCTAGGAGATCCTCCCTCTCCCTCGGCACTCTTACCTTAAGACTGAGCATGCTGCCTCCACAGGAGCTTCTAATTAATTTAACCCCAAGTGCAATACTGGCAAAATTTCCTACTAGCAATTAACAAGAAATAAAAGTCAGCACTGAGACAGGAATAGGGTTCCTCCAATCTCTGATGATCTTGGAACGTGGGAGTTATGTGCATGCATTGTGAGAGGAACAGACACCTCTGCTTTTAATTAAGCATAAAGTATGATACAGATAATAAAGGAACAGAGGACGGAGGAATCTGAGATATTAACTGTCTGATCAACAATGCAGCAAATACATCTGAGATTGGGAAGGAGAGGTGTTTGCATAATTCAGCATCCCTTGAATGTCCCTAATGATTTCCCAATATTTCCCTTTTTATAGCAATTATAAGATCAGAATCTAGACCCTGTCTCTGTTTGCTTTAAGAGCCTGTCTGCCCTTCGGACAGATTCAGACTTGATCTCCAGTCCATCCTTGTCCCTAGGATAATCAGGCTCAGAATATCTTTGATTATCACACCAGATACCAAAATAACTACGACAGCCTCCTCCTCCTTTTCACTCATGGGCTCCCAGTGATTCTTCAGGGGTGCCCCTGATTTCCGTGCAGGACACCAAAGGGATTTGCATCCCTTTGCCTCCTGGAAATACACTAGTTAGGTTCAGGCCCTCTCAGAGAATAACAGAGACGTAGGCCACTTTGAGTTTAGAGGCCCCAACCCAGTCCAAGCCCCAGCTCCCCAGCGTATCTAACTTCTCATCCACAGGGTCATACTAAAACCAAAAGAATATATGAAAATGAACACTTGAGTCATTATACCAATAGCATGTATATTAAAAATGTAACTTTAATTGTGAGTTTCCACTGCAAGCAAAACTCTTCATTTTAGTATCAGAGGGGTAGCTGTGTTAGTCTGAATCTGCAGAAGCGGCGAGGAGTCCTGTGCCACCTTATAGACTAACTGAAGTGTCTTTGCCCACGAAAGCTTATGTTCCAACAGTTCAGTTAGTCTATAAGGTGCCACAGGACTCCTCGCCGCTTCTTCATTTTAGAAATGCTTTTCGGAAATGCTTTTCTGGCTCTAAATCAAGCGGAGATTCTCCCTCTTTTGCTGCTGTTGGCATTTCTGTGTCTTGACTAATGACCTCCTCATTTTGAGGCAGTGGCATTAAAATGTCATTTATGGGTACAAAGTTTTCATCATCAAAACTGAAAGTGTCACTGTCAGTATGA